TTTATTGACATTAATAGACCATGTAAACGCACAAATATAGACATATACACTGAGAAGTACCACGTATATATGTATATGTCAGCAGTGTAAATACTCAAAAATTCAATGAAACCTGTCCTAATGACATATGTACATACATATGTATATAAGAAATGTTAACATTTTATTTTGTCATTCATTGTCCGCTTTGATCACACACCATTTAGCGGTGTAAATCAATCAAATCGTCGCATTAGAATTAAATTAACGCATAATTTGTGTGGGAAAACATGAGAAAATTACTTCCCGTTTAATAAAATGCATATCATTGTTTTCAATTTATTCAGTACAAAATTGTATTTTCTCACAATGAAATTTTCTAATTGCTCAAGCAACCGATTTACTTCTCACTAAGCTGTAAAGGGGCGCCCCTAGTGTGAAATTTTAAAAAAATCGTTCTTTTTCATACACCTTTGAAAATAACATATTAAAATTTCAAATCGATATTTCAAATAGTTTCTGAGTTATAGCAATCTATATATAGTTCTCCGTACAATCCTATCGATTTTTGATCTGATCAAAAAATCGAATTTTGGCAGGCCAAAAACGATCAAACTTTTGGGTAAAATTCGACTATTTTTTTTAACGCTGCCATATTGTCAATTTTTGATTTTTTTTATCGTAGGTCATTATACAGACAATAGTATCTAAAGAGATTTTTTTTTTTAGATTTCATCAAACGGAGAAGGCCGGAATCACTGCAGCAGTGAAGGACCTTTTTTTGCGCCGTTGGAGATCGACTATAACTTAAAAAATATTTAAGTTTTTTCTTCAAAAATTTCACTGTATATTCTTGAAACATGTAGAAATGTATGCTGTAAATTTTGAAATAATTGATACAGTATTTTTTTTATAAAAAATCCCAAAAATCACCTTTTTTAGGGCATCACACCAGATGTGCCTCTTAATGCGTATATATGTATGGGAGGGCAACAACTTATACAATTATCTTTTAATTAAATTTGGAGTGAAACGCAGTTCTCTGCATTACTTTTTTTAAATTAAATAAATCGAAAAGTGGAGTTAGCAGTACTTTTCACCTGCCATATTTATTTGATTTTTTATTCTTATAATTTTTTTTATTATTAAAAATTTTTTTTTTTGATAATCCACGATTGATAATTAGATAGAAAACTACTACAGATAAAAATGTTGCATTTGAATAAAGTATAAACAGTAGCAGTTTGTCATGTTTCTGTCATGTTGATTATTTCAAAAAATGACATTATCGTGAGCATTCAATCAAATTTTTTAATTACAAATTGTATACAATGATAATAAATAATTAGAATTTGCATACAAGCAACTTTAAATAATTTAGATTTTGAAAAGAAATAGACAATTAAAATCATGTTTTCTATTAGTAATGATATTATGATATTAACATACAATACAATTAAATTATTTATAATTTATTTTTATAATAAATTATTTTATTTACTTATGCAACCCTCAAGGAGGAGTTTTATCGCCACTGCTGTGGTATCTAACAGCGATCAGGTTGATTAGGAAATCGCACAACTCAGGATGTGATGCAGTGGCATGCGCTGATGACTTTGCCCTAACAGAGACAGCTAAACATACACGAACTTTAAATGATCTCCTCCAAAATACTGTTTGCATTGTTAGAAACTGATGCCAAAACAGCGAACTGGACGTTAACACAGATAAAACCGAAATGGTTCTTTTCACCGGAAGGCACAAGCCGACTAATTTTAAGCCACCTAAACTAAAGGACGTGGAGCCCACCCTCTCCACCCAAGGTAGAGTATCTCGGCATAATTAGTAGCAAGCTTAACTGGAGCCGGAACACAGCTGAATGGTCAAGGAAAGCACTTTACGCCTGCAAAACGGCGATAGAAAAAAGATGGGGTCTAAGACCGGATATAGTGCACTGGATTTATACATCGGTTGATAGATCAATTCTATTCTACGGCGCCACAGTTTGTTGGCCGGCACTCGATAAAATTACTGTCAGTAGCGAATTTGAGAGAGTTCAACGATCGGCAGACTGAATGCTGCTCAACCTTGGAAGATATGCAATATAGGAAACAGAATCCCCAACAGGTGCGAGTGAGAAACTACCAACGCCCCCGACGAGGCGGCCATAGCCATTTTCACAGATTGCTCGAAGTTTGATGGGAGAGTGGAATGCGGAATTTATTCTACCATGCTTTCATTTTCCAGTCGGAACTCTCTGCCATCATGGATCCTGCTAATATACTCCAACAGTCAAGCTGCAATTAGATCTCTACAATGTAATGGCACCACGTCAAAAATGGCCATGAAAAGTAGGAACTTTGTCTCACTACTAAATATAGCACTACCGTTATCTGGGTGCCTGGACACAGGGACATCTCAGGCAACTGCATGGTGGATGAACTAGCAAGGGAACGAACCCTTCTACCCACGATAAAGCATACACACGATGCTGGTTTACCTCTGACCACGGCAAAGTACATGCTTAAAGTGGACTGCTTAAATGGGATCACGTGTAACGTGACCAAACAGCTATGGCCGAAGCTGGACTCAAAAAACCCCAAGCACTTTATCCTTCTAGACCGGTTCTCCATTAGCATAACGACGGGCATAATAACTGGACACTGTTTAATGGAGCTTCACGGGAAAAGAATGGGATATCATTCTAATGGTTTCTGCCGCAGCTACAAGGGTCAAGAAGAGGAGGAGACCATTAGGTACTACCTCTGCCACTGTCCAGCCTTGACATCAGCGCGATACAAATTTCTTGGGAAACATTTCTTCGATTGTCTCGCTAAGATAGCCTCATCGAATTGCCCTTATAAGGCACAAGAAATGGTTCGATCATCAGAGAAGGTGAAGGCGAGAGCCTCAGTGGTATCACAATGGGCCTATTGTCCAAACTCTGCTGGCAACAGCAGCATTTAAATTCGTAACTGACTGCAAAAAAAAATTATTTTAACCAAAAGTTTGGGCTATGTTCAGACTGAGCATAAATTATTATTATTATTGAATATAAAAAAATCACAAGCCATGGAGACAATTTTGCGCCAAATATGCCACACTAACTTTGGCATACCCTCTCGGTAAGCAATTTAAACAATTTACTTCGTTATAAGCGCAACCACATGCCATTAATGCTTCGCACGAAAAAATTTTATACTCTTTTTCATATAGAAAACAGAAATAAATATTAATAAATAATACTCAGAATGCAAATAAAATGAGGTGTAGGAAACTAATCATAAACTTACCTGTCAATAGCAGTGCGGCACCGGTTCAACGTGTTTTCAAATAACATTTTTATGAATGCTTTTCTAACGGCGAACTTCTAAACAGGTTGTTATGTGCGTAAATGTACGAGTATTTACTCTTTGCGCACAAAACGTATTATGAGAACGTTAATTTTTATTTGCTTTTATTTTAGTTTTATTTCAATCTGTTTAGTGATTTTTAATTATATTAAATTTTTTTTACCTATTTAATTTAACTTAATTTAGGTTTATTTTATTTTATTCTATTTTATTGTGTATTACTTTAATTATAATTTTTTCTATTTTTCAACTTAATTAATTTTTTTTAGTTTATTTTTTTATTTTGTCATATTTTATTTTGTTTATTATAAATTTTTTTTAATTCCCTTTACTTTATTCTATTTTTTATTTTACTGAATTTATTTAATTTATGTAATTTAATTTATTTAGTTTTTTTTATTAAATTTACTTTGCTTTACTTCTATAAGTTTCTGTTTTAATTTAATTTTATTTATTTTACTTCGGCTCGGCGGAAACCGCTTCAGAATATATATATATAGTTTACTTCATGTTATTTAATTAAATTTATAGCGAATTTTATTTTATTAATTTTATTTTATATTATTTTTATATTTATTATACCTCTACCTAATTTACTTAATATTTTTATTTCATTTATTTATTTTATTTCAAATCACTTTATATTATTTTATTTTATTTATCTAAATTTAGTTAAATTTAATTTCATTCAATTTAATTTAATTTCATTTAATTTAATTTTTTTATTTTATTTTACCTTATTTTATTTTATGTTGTTTTGTTTTTTTATTTTGTTTTATTTATTTTTTTATTTTACTTTAATCTATTTATTTTTTTAATATATTTTATTTTATTTTATTTAATTTTACTTTACTTTAGTTTACTTTATTTATTTATTTAATTTCATTTAATTTAATTTTTTTATTTTATTTTACTTTATTTTATTTTATTTTGTTTTGTTTTATTTTATTTTGTTTTATTTTATTTTACTTTAATCTATTTATTTTCTTTTTTAATTTATTTTATTTTATTTTATTTTATTTTACTTTACTGTATTTATTTATTTATTTAATTTCATTTAATTTAATTTTATATGATTTTATATGATTTTACTTTATTTTATTTTATTTCGTTTTATTGGATTTATTTTACATAATTTCACTTTTTTTAATTTATTTAATTTAACTTATTTAATTTTTGCTTATTTTGTATCAAATTAATTTGTTTTATTTTTATCTTTTATATTCCTATTTCCTATTCTATTATATTTTAATTTGTTATTTTCTATTCTATGTTTTTTATTTGATTTATATTGATTTATTTAATTTCATTTAATTTTTTTAGTTTATTCTCTTATACATCAAAATAGTTGGATTTATTTATTTTATTTTATTTCTATTTTTATTATTTATTTTTTTTTTATTTTATTTTTTATTCTTTTTATTTTTTTATTTTTTTTTTATTTAATATATATTATTTATTTATTTTTATTTAGTTTAATTTAATTTAATGGATTTTTTTAACTTTATTTAAGCTCTTTCAAAGTTTTATTTAATTTAATTAAAAAAAAAAACAATATTAAATGTTGGTTTTTAAATTAGTTTAATTTTATTTTATTTTTTATTATATTTTTAAAAATTTTTTATTATATATTTATTTATTTTTATTTTCTTTAAAATATTTTATTTCGTTTATTTCAATTGTTTTATTTAGCACAGAGGTTAAATAAATGGCTTACATTTTCCACCACATTTTACAAAAACAAATCACAACCGTTCAATACAATCACCCAGCCGCTAGTTTTGAGAGTAAAATCGCTTCTGCAAAATTGAAGGTAAATAAATAAAAACTACGCGCACTCAACTATCGGTGATATATGTATGCCTGTATGAATGTGCATATGTATGTATGTAAATGCAACGAAATATTCACACTTGGCATTCGTTTTTTATATCTGGTTAAAACAACAATATCAACATGAACACAATAACATCGACAGACTAGGTTATCAATAACACTAACATAACCATTAAGGCGGCCAATATAATTACTTTATTAATTCTCCTAGTGAATCCTCCTTTTTATTGTACAACACTATAATTTTGCATTATCTCATCAGTAGTTTAGAGTTTTTATCAATACCAGGCGTATCAAACTATTTGTTGTTTAAGCATTTTTCAATAATTTATTTATACATAAGTTAGAAACACATAAAATGTGTGATTTGTTGATATATTGATATGTTGAAGTTTATTTTAAAAATTTCTGAAATGTTTTTCTTTGCTCTCAACTTTTTTTATGAATCACTAAACATTATATTTTGTTTGTAAAATTGTTTATTTATACAAGCCGGTTGTTAACTGCTCTAATTAACATATTTTGTTTCATCAATTTTGTGTTCGTTTTCTTTTTTGGTGTTGTTTTAACTACAAAACTCCAGGCTTTTTCAACGACTAAGGTCTCTCGCACCACCGCACACTCGTTGTTGTATGAACGAGTTAGAGTAAACTAACTGATTTTCCGTTTATTTATTTGACACAATTTTGGCAACTGGCATTATATGAAAATACACATATACATATGTACATATGTATGTACGTATTCACAGAGGATAAAAAGAATGCACTGAGCTCATTTTTCATTGCACTTTGCTGTTTTGAATGTTTCTTATATATATATATGTATATTATAGTATATGTTTATTTGTAGTATATTCAAAATAAAAACACTTCTAGTACATTAAACTTTTTGTTGTAGAAATTCGTAATTGCCGGACGAGTCGCCGCTCTTTGTGTACCTTCTCGCCATAAAAGCTTAAATATTTTGCCAACGCTCAATTCGCTTTGTTACACGTTTTTGCAGCTCAAGAGACAAATAACACAAAAATACACATAAAAAATTGGCAGGTTTACAAACATTGTAAATTCAAAGCATGTGCCAGAGTGTTAAATTACTATTAAACGGCATTAACGACTTAGCCATAAGCGCTACATTTGTAGTTCCCCCTAATGAAGGCAACATGGCTGGATAGTTGGTGTTTCATTCAGCTCCTAAGGACATAAGAATGCTTCAGAGGAAGTTGATGTATTGTACATAGAGTGAGTATTTTACAGTTGCTGAGAATCTGTAGAACAAACACATATTCACTCAGAGTACAAAGCTCTACGTATTATTCCGGGAACAACTATTTGCCATTCAAAGATTTGTATAATTGGCACTTTGTAACATCTGAAGCGATTTTCCGACGAGCTCCTTCTCCAATATGTGGTTTTACGTCTTGATGTTTCTCCAATAAATGGAGGGACCTACAGTTTATACTAAGCCGGCTCCGAGCGGCTGATGGTTTTTTATGAGGAGCTCTATTTCATGTCACAAATACCTTCAGAGGGGTTGACTTTCCCTGACGAGAAGCGGCCGCATTTAGAAAATTTAGCTTAATTTTTTATTTAAATTAAATTTCTATAATTTTTGAATGTTGGTCGCACGGGGATTTGAACCCGAGCCTTCCGAATAGTAGTACGCACTCGGCTCGACTCGGTTCCGCTATCCACCATGATTAGGCATTTTTGGTTGGTACACATTTGTAAATAAAGTTAGTAAGCAAGTCAATCAATCTGCTAATACTCTATTTATTCGCTGCTAAGCGCACCGAAGAATCAGGACGGGCGCCATTGGGTCCGCGGAAGCACATAAACTAGTCGAATTTGCTGCAGTATTTCCCTCCAATACACAACAAAAAAAAAAAATTAATATGTAATTGCTGATTTCAATTGGGTTAATATTTCTGCGAACGAAATGATGGCGCCGACTGTAGATCGGTGAATTTTATGATTTCCATCTAAAATTAGACAGCGCCACGCTCCATTTTTACTCAAAATGTATTTCTATTACACTTTTCGCCAAAATATTTCAATTTACCAATGTAAACAAAAAATTCAGCTGTCATTTGACGTTTGACTGTATTTTATGAACCATCGAAATGGAAATAATATGTAATATCATCAAATAATATTATTTACGACTCTGCCGAGTTATCACCCATGATAAGTGAATGAGGGGATCTATATAGAAATATTATAAATTGGGATAAGCTGAAGTAAATGAACAAATAAACAATACGAAATGTAATAAATTAAAATTTTTGTTGGTTAATTTTTCCACACATACTTTGTACATTTTCATTACATTCCATATTCGTCATGCAATAATATTGAACAAAAAATAGACGACATGGCGGATACGTAATAGCGATACAGAGTAGTTGATAAGTGCGTTTTCTTTTTTTATTTTCTCTGGTCATTTTAATTGTATACAAATTAACGTAAATAATAAACAAAAGTGAGAAAAAGCACAAATAAAAATGGGACTCTTCACTGCGTGTTGTTTTGCTCTAGTGGAGACGGCCAATTAATGAAAATAATTGAAAAATGAGCGATCCAGGAAGAAGTTCGAATAGCAATCGCCCGCTCAAAAAACAACAAAGCTGCTGAAGATGACTGCCTACCGGCTGAACTATTCAAACATGGCGAAGAAGAGGTGACAATGTGCATGCATAAGCTACTTTGCATGAGGACAAAAGCATGCCCGACGATCGGAATTTAAGTGTGCTCTATCCAATCCATAAAAAGGGAGCACCCCACAGTCACCTATGAGGTCCTGTCGATCATACTGTGTTAAAGGCTAAAGCCCACAGTTAAAAAACTGATTGAACCCTATCAGTGTGGCTTTAGACCTAGTAAATCAACCATTGACCAGATGTCACATGATAATCGGCTCGGAGAGGTCTTTCCCGATTCTGACGGAGTTTGTAGTGTTTTATTGTGCGTCTGTTTACACAATTTGAAACAAAAAACTGGCACCTTGTAACCGCTGAGGCGATTATGGGCCGAGCTTCTCTTCCTGTTTGTGGTTTGGTTTGCATGATAAGGTTTTTCCAACAAATGGGGGATCTGCGGTTTATGATGTTTGTTGTTGTTGAAGCAGCTATTCCATTCTCGCTTTCATTTAAGAACTGGCTAGTGAATCTAAGTCACCCAGGTCATCTAGCGCGAGATTCAGGAAAAAAAAACTGTTTCGTCGGGTTTGAATCAAAGGGAGTGGGGGTTAGATGTATCAGTTTTAGGGGGCATATAAAGAGGTGGTTAGTGTCGTGCGTTACATGCTGGACACACGTTCGGTATGTCAGAGTCGAGTTTGGTTAGGTACGAGTTTAAAGTGCTACAATATCCAGACCTAAGTTTTGCCAGTATTACTCGAGACTCTTGAGGCAGCTCGAGCTCTTCATCTGTCATGGGTGGTGGCTTGATTCCGAGGACATCATTCACAGGGAGAGAGTTTTTGAAAGTGGTGACTGACTCTCGGTGGATGGCCCTTAGTGCCTGTCTGTATGGCGTTCTATCCAATATCAATATATTTCGCACATATTTCAAATTCACAACTTTGACAGATATTGCCGTTGTGAAACCCTGATGGAGTCAATGTGACGGTAATATATTAATAATATTATTAACCGAATATTGCAACGCCGAACCGTTTTTCCAAAATTTCATTAACTTAATATACCCTTGGCTTGGTGTAATTGCATACGGATTTTGGGTAATTTAAATCGTATTTCCTTGTTTTTGTTAAAAGCAGTAAATCTTTTATATTTTAAATATTCTTTTTGTACAAATTATGTCCAGAACGAATTTTGTAGAAAAAAATCACTTGAAACATTAATAAGAGTTCAATTCAACAGAAGTTATAAGCATGAAATAAAAACTTGAAATAGCACCAACCAAAATAATCTTCCGTTTCGCCTAAGAGTATGCAATGAAACTACCACTACTAATGCCATTTCCGCTCAAAGTAAACAGCCGGCAGATATGTTTTATGCAATTTCGAAGAACTCGATTAATATCTACATAAAAAACGAATAACACATACATTCACACATTTACATACACATCTAAAATCTTTAAATCGAATTTAATTAATATTAAATTACAGTGAAATGTTTTTGCGGTAACCACAAGTCTTGGCTGGAACTGCTCAAGTGTTTCAATTCTTAGGTACAAACAATGCGACCAGTATTGAGTTTCATATTTGCATTTCTCTTTACAAATGTAATTAATCATATAAGCAATAATAAAATGCAAATGTGTTATACATATGTACACATATGAGTGTGTGAGTGAAAATTACAAATTACGTGTGAAAAGCATACTGTTTGAATATACACATACTATGTATGTACATATCAATACATAAATGTAATTCTTTTGCTTAAAATTTTAATGACCAACTAACCTAATTCTCCACGTGTGCACATTTTATGTGTTATTGACCGTATTTGTAAATTATGTATGTGAATATTATAAAAATTTAATTTACTATTTTTAATTTATGTTCTTTTAAAATATATATGTATGTATATTAATACTAAATCAGTATAATGAAATATTTTTTACATTAATTTTTTTTTTTTAATATTATAATTTTTGATTATTTATTTATTTTTCTTGAATGTTTGAAAATAGACGAATTTCAATAGATTTTACCACGCATTAGTTTTGATTATTTTTGTTTTTTTTTTTTATTTTACAAACAGCCAATCGTCAGGGCCACATTGAAAAAAATTAGATTTTTTAAGTACAATCGCCCTCGGCAGGAAATCTTTATATTATATTTTGGCAATTACTTATTCGCGTCTAAAAGTATAGCTCAGAAACTACTTGACAGAATCCGAAAAATTTATCGCTTACAATTCCCATGACCCAATAAGAACACGAATAAAATCAGTTCGAGATTGGGCAGTGTTGCCTATTTAGTTTTTTCCAGCGAGATTTTGCTGCTTTTTCGCTGTTTACCTAGAAAAATTGTAATTTATTGTTGCTTGGGCCTTTTTATTTTTGCTATTTTAGTAAAAAGTTTAGCCCTTTCAGACTTAGTTTATTGAAGGAAAAATCCAAATTTTTTCTTTATTAATGCGGCAAATGTATTACGGTTAGGTTTATGTATCTAAACTTTGTTTGGACTGACATGGAAACATGTCTTCGTAACAAAAAGTTCCTGTAACATCTGCCAAACGAAAATACATTCGAAACCAGTTCTCGCTGAAAGCTGCAAAATCCTCCATCCAATTGGTGTCTGAACAAATTTTTCAATATTTTGTCGTGTCAGAGTATTCATTGGCAATGAATGTCGGCGAGCTCTGAAAGGCGGTACTTGAAACAAGATGGTACATGATCTTTGGTAGGTTTAAGGCATCGTAAAATTAGAAATAATTAAAAATCCCAAAGTGATTTTTAGACGTGTGGTTTCTTCTTTCGGAGTTGGTCT